TACTTTTCTACCTAGGATTGAGCCTTACTCTGAGGAGCCAATCTGAGGAGGAGAGACCCTCTTGATGTTGGGAGAGATTGCCTTGACAGTTTGTTTTTTTTGGCGGTAGTTATAGTCAGGGCCGGATTTGGACATAGGCGGACGAAACATTCGCCTAGGCCCCCAAAAATTTTAAATTTTTTTAACGTACGAATAAGCCCCTAAACATTGACCTTGACCCCCAAAATTTTTAGAGTTCTTGAGAAATGTTTCAAGCCCCCAAAATCTCAGCTCTGGCCCTGGTTATAGTGTAAGTGCTGAGAATCTCATGCTCATCCTCTGTCACGGTTTCCAGCGGCTTCTTCTAATTCACTGACTGCGTCAAATCACCGTCTGGCTTTCTAAAAGAGGATGAACCTGCGCCAAGAAAAAACTGTGTTGGAGGCAGCTTGTTACTACACTGTTAATAAATCATGTTCATTTATTTGCAATGAGTGAGAATATATAAATATATCTAGAACCACTCTAAAATTTCTAATGTCCAAGACTGGTTTCCCAGTTACCATTTACCAAACCACTCTAAAATTACTAATGTCCAAGACTGATTTCCCAATTACCGTTTACCATTCGCAAAGGTAGCATTTATGGTCAGTAGCAATTGTTGGTGTTTTGCAACAATTATAAAGAACGTTATAAATTGTTTCAAACTGTTTTAAATCTCTAAAATTTAAAAACTAGTGTCAACTAACATTTGAGATTGCGGGAAGATGAAAAATATATTTTTTTAAAAGTTATATAAATATAAATATGAATATAAATATTTAATTAAAATTTACAATTAAAATAATAGAAATAGCAATATATATATCATATTTTATTGTATATTATAAACCTTCAAAAACAGAAATCTATAATTTTAAGAAGTTTAATAGTGTGATTTTATCAATATAATTTTTTATATCTTTATATATAAAGAAGAAGATCACTCTCTTCTCCTTCACCCACATCATCAAATGATGTCATAAATCAAAAACTTTATTATTGGGTCTCACTTGATTTCCGTTTGGGCTTCGCATGTTTATGACTGGCTCGTTAATTTTTTTTTTTAAAGCATCTAACCCTAGACTTTCGACTTTCCCATCGAGAGGTGACGATCTCTTACTCGCCTGAATCTCAAACGGTCGGTTTCAATTGCGCAGTCTCGACATCAATGTTATGTTAACTCCATGATAAAAGCACGTAAGTCCTGTGCTCCAGATTCTTTTGTTTCGAAATGGTTCCAATATTTTTTCTCTNTTCTCTGACTTGCAGATCGGCCGGTGCTCATCCGGTGTTCAGGCACGGCTCCTCCGGTTCCGGCAAGCAGGACGAATGAGGCGCGGTGTGGAGATCCAGTTCATTGATTTACTCCTCATAGATGGAAATGTGAGATTCGTATCTCTATCAACTTTTATTGAATCACCTTTTATGTTCCTGTTTTAAGATTCATAGCTCTCAGAACTTCTACTGATTCAATTTTTTTTCCTGATTACCGTATGATTCGATTTGTGTCCGTTAATGTGTGTGAATCTGTTCATTTGTGTGTTTGAATCTGTTTTTTAAAAACAAAAGTCTACCGTCATCCATATCTCATTAACTGTTACTTAATAGATTAGACGATAATATTTAGCTAACTTCACACGGATGTGAACTTTATATATAAAGATATAGTGATATTTAAAATGGCAGAATAAGAAGAAAAATCAGAAGCATTTGTTATGACAATGATGATGATAATGAAGTTTTATGGGATCCACATTTGTCTCTTACTCAAGCTTCTTTGAGAATCACCCAATGAAAGACTGTAGAAGGTATATCTTGGCATTGTTATCTCTGTTTTTTAGTGTTAGTTTATTTTGTGACAGAGATTTTTTTGTTTAAATCCTCTATATATATGTACACACATGTTTGTGACTAGGTTTGTATTGTCTTACGAACAAAAGTTTTTTGAATTTTTTTTTCGTCTCTTTATCCATAAAACTGTTTGGTTTTGTTTTATTTGATGTGGGTTATTTCAAGAACTTGAATTGGTCAAAATGTTTTGATTTTTTTTTGTGTCTTCGGACATGAACAGATTGGTTTTGATGTGGGTTATGTTATGTTTCTCAAGGCAAAGATGGTTACTTTTGTTGTCTTTTGCTATACAGGAGCTCGAGTCTATGGCAGACCCTATGAAGAAAGAAGTGTCTATGGTTCGTAAGAAGATTGATAGCGTTAACAAAAGAACTCAAACCTTTAGGTTCCACTGTTCAAAAG